ACGCATAAGCGATAGGACGCTCTACTCCCTCAGCAGTACGGTGTGACAAGACCGCTCCGAGACCATACGAGGAGCTGTCTGTGGCAAGAACTAGTGGTGAGTCAGGGTCATAGCGCATCAGAACCCTATCCTGTAGCAACATTTCTTTCACCACAAGAAAACTAGTTTGTTCCGCAGCTGCCCACAACCACGTCATATCTTTCTGTAACAGCCGATGAAGTGGAGCAAGATGAGTGGCCAGATCGGGCAAGAATTTGGCGTAATACTGGACCATGCCAAGAAAAGCACGCAGTTGAGTAACATCCTGAGGTTTCGGCATCTCAGTGATAGCCTTTACTTTCTTTGGGGATTGGTGCAGTCCTTCTGCAGAGATGACGTGTCCTAGGTACCCCACAAAACTTCTAAGGAATTTACACTTTTCTCGGTTGGCTTTCAAACCATACTCTTCCAACCTCTTCAATACTGCGACTAACCGCTCCAGGTGTTCCTCTATGGTATGGCCGGTTATAATGATATCATCCAGGTAACAGAAGACCCCTGGTAGTCCTTGCAGGATCTGATCCATAGCTCGCTGCCAGATGGCTGGCGCCGAAGCTACACCATAAGGAAGGCGCTGGTACTGGAACAAACCACGGGTTGTGTTAATGGTGAGGAAAGGCCTGGAGTGCTCCTCAACCTCCATTTGTAAGTAAGCCTGACGAAGGTCAATGACGCTGAACAACGTTCCCCCACCTAGGCTGGCGTAAATATCATCCATGCGGGGAAGTGGGTACTTGTCTACCTCCAGCTGTGAATTGATGGTCACTTTGAAGTCACCACACACTCTTACACTGCCATCCTTCTTCACAGGTGTCACAATTGGAGCAGCCCACTCACTAGTAGCTACCTTCTTTATAACTCCTTCAGCTTCCAGCTCTCTCAATGCTTCGTCCACTGCTGGTTTACGAGCCAGCGCTACTGGGCGGGCTTTCCAGAATCGAGGCCGGGCATCCTCTTTAACTTGGATCCGTGCTTGGATATTCTTCATTTTGCCCAAACCTTCAGAGAAAACATCTCCATGCTTACTCAGGACATCTTCCAGGGCTGGAATGGTGTCGGATGTTTCCAGACGAAGTAAGGGCCAGTCCAGATGGATAGATTCCAGCCATTCTCTGCCAAAAAGGGTGGGTCCCTCATTCTTCCTTACATATATGGGAAGTTTCTTTGACTGTCCCTGATACTGCACAGTCACATGGCAAAACCCCATAGGCTTCACTGACTCTCCGGTGTATGTGCGCAACTTCAAGGAGGTGTCCTTTAAAGGAATGTGGCGGAGGTAATCCAAATACACCCTCTCACTCATGACTGACACCACTGAACCTGTATCCAGCTCCATAGTCACTGGGCGGCCTTCAAGGTAGATCTTGAGTGAAATGGGCTTTGTTTTTAATGTCTGAGACATGGTACAGGTTCCCAAATTCTCCATCACTTTCTTCGGAATCATCACCCTCCATGACATTGATTCCAGCCTCAGTCATCTGTGAGGTGGCCTGTCTCTTCCTACATGCTCTCTGTGTATGTCCAATGATGCCACAATGAAAACAGCGTTCTTTCATGAAGGGACACTTTTGTGAGTTATGTGACCCTGAACAGCGGTAACAAGGTTTAGACTTCTTACTGTCCTTACCTCGGGGACCCTCGGCCCTAGGTGGTGGCTTGGATATGGCTTGTTCTTCCCCAGTTTTGACAGTGTCAAGTTTATTGATTGGGGTGCCTGGCCCTTGTTCTCCCTGAAGCACCTGAACATCTTTATTAGCCTGCTCAATGGCCAAACACTTTTGAACCGCGAGATCAAATGAAAGGTCGGCGAGTTTTACTTTCAACAATTCCGTAATCATCTTCGAGTCGCGGATACCTGAAACTAATCGGTCACGAAGGCGCTCGGTTCGCATGGCCTCTCCAAACTTACATTCTGTGGCCAAGTGCTTCAGCGTGGCTACATAATGACTAACTGACTCACCGGAATTCCTGGCTCGGTTGTCGAACTCATACCTCGCAACCAGCGCTGATCTTTCAGGTTTCAGTTTTTCCCTCATTCGCTCCACGATGATCTCATAGGTAATGGCGTCATCTTTCAGTTGCGTGGGGGCCACTAAATCCTTCGCCAATTGGTAAGTCTCCACCGGAAGGTTCGTCAAAAGTACGGCCTTCATTGTTTTAGGTTCCTTGATCCCATTTGCAAGAAAGTAAAAATCCAGTTGTTCGGTGTAGGACTCCCAATCCGCTCCCACCACAAACTTTGTCACTTTGCCGATGGCTTGACTCGTGTTAGCGCTCGGTGCTTCGTCCGGCATAATTTTATTTTCGTCGTCTCTGTCCCTTTTTGAACGTGATTTGTACGACCCACTCCTGTTAACCGCTTGTGCTTGATCAAAGGGATCCCATCCTCGTCGCCAGTTGTTGTGTATTCCGAATAAAGGCCAGGAACACAGTAACTAGATCAAGATGGCGGAAGAACTATTTTTACAAGCGACTAAATACAGGAATGGCTCCGACCTGTAATTGGATGATAAAAATAGTAAAAGTTAATAAGTTATATCTTAACTCTTTGCCCGTGAGTATTGTTAACCGCGTGTCTCAAAGCGGAACAATGAAATATCAATGCGAGTGAAAACACCGATCTGTAAAAAAAGAAATGATTACTTACGTAGCGAAGAGAAGGCAGCCTTTCTTATTCAGCGAGGTCGTTCAGCGATATTCCAGCGATGAAAAAGTCATCGGCTAACAAGCTCCGCTGACAAAACTCATTTGGTCAGTTCAGGCGGACGACCAGAGACTGGAGCCATTCCTGTATTTCACCGCTGACAGGAATAGCTCCGACTCAAACGTTTATTAATTTTTTTTTTCAATAACTTTTTAGTAATTTTTAAAAAAAAAATTTAAAAATTTAAAACTAAAATGGTGAGCAGTGCTGTACGAACAGTAGTTGTAAAACTTCTTTATTCTCTGACGCTTTTCGTCTAACTCTCGTAACTTCTTCGGGGAGTTTTACGAGGTAACACTAAACGCGTATAGTTATAAACCATTGTTAGCAGCTATGACCAGTGACCATAAGGGCTTACCTGGACCTACGAGCAGGAATAGGCAAAGTTGTGAAAATTTGAAAATTTCTTTTGAAAATTTATTAGGCAAGATGAGAAATATTTTTTGGGAGCCGCGGTTTTAGCTGAAAATTTTCAAATTTGAAAAATTGAAGAGGTTTTTTACAGATGATGCCTGGAAAGCAGTTGGCAAATTAGGTTAGGATGGCTCGTACAGAAAATGTAGTTTATGGTCCACTCATTCTTTCTTAAATTTAAGTGGTATAAATACCTTGTCTAAAACAGTAGTGTGATACGATAACTAATGAGATATACTCGTTCCAATACTATGTCATGTGATGAACAGCCTTCACTAATTTTGGAACATATTTTATAAAATCATTTTACTCTTTCTTGTTATAGCCAAAAACTGTTCGAAGATTGGTTGTGCTATCACTGCAAACAGTCAAGGCACTTCGATATGATTCAGTGCGAGGGCTACTGCCACTGGTTTAACTGGTAAGACAATTATTTTGTTTTTTTGTTTTTTTCCTTTTTTAGGTCCAGTGGAGTTGTTAGAAATTACCAAGCAAAATTAATCCGCGACTTTCTTCCTTTGGGTGTTGTGCAAAAATAGATCAAGAACCCGATGAATGGGTTTGTCCTTCATTTGAACAATTACCTAGAAAATCCGTTTCCACGAAAAAAATTCCCTCGATTGCGGGCAAGTCATACTTCTCCAGTAGAGCATACTGTAAATTAAAAACATCGGTGGCAGCGTCACGCAACCTTGCGTGATCTTTCAAACATGGTATGCAGTTGCTGCATTATTTTAAAACTTAGAAACTACATGGCCCTGTAGAAATAAAAGAGGGCTTCATTTGCAAGCACTGTAGACTTCAACATAAGAAGAACCTAATAAATAGCTCTTTCACTTTTTATCTGTATATAAATTATTTAGCCAGAACCAAAAAATTAATATACGCATGAGTTGGAGCCATTCCTGTCAGCGGTGAAATACAGGAATGGCTCCAGTCTCTGGTCGTCCGCCTAGACAGACTAAATTAGTTTTGTCAGCGGAAATTGGCAGTGGATGACTTTTTCATCGCCGGAATATCTCTGAACGACCTAGCTGAAGAGGATAGACTCTGCCTTATCTTCGTTATGTAAGTGGCCATTTCTTGTTTGACACGTCGGTGTTTTCGCATGGATATTTCATTGTTCCGCTTCGGTACACGCGGTTAGCAATACTCACGTGCAAGGAATTAAGATATAAGTTATGAACTTTTACTATTTTTATCATCCAATCACAGGTCGGAGCCATTCCTGTATTTAGTCGCTTGTCTATTTTTAATCTGAACAGAAAACCTCGTGTACAATACCAAATATGGAAAACAGGTCTCGTGACACTAACTTCTACGTAGAACAGGGAAACCAAAATTAGGAAAAATCTAACAATTTCAAAAGAGAATATCCAAACAAGTTACAAAAATGGTTCACGAATTGTAGACTGTTAAGGTGTTGACAAAATTTCCCTAAATTATGGTGCCGATACGAATCTATCATTCATAATCGCTTATGAAATTCCGAGACTGAACCTAAATGAATTTAACAGGAAATATCCAGGAAGGTTACAGAAACAGACTCTCAAAAACTGCTCTTGAATTCGAAAACCGGAAACGACAATTATTTATGCTAACCATGTGCTTACCAGCGCGCTTGTGAGATAAAATTGCCAGAACCCCGTCTAATTGGGCCGTGGCTAGGAAAACTTAAGCAATGGACTCAAATGGACATTAGGGAACTTAAGCAATGGAAGTTTTCGGGGCGACGGCGACTGGAGTGGCAGAGGGAAGCTGGGACCGATGTAGCCGTCGCCTCCCGCCAAATTCAACTGTTCATTCAGACGGCGACGGAGTAGCTTTCCAAAGAAAAAAAAAGACTTCTTTTAAAGAAACGAGAGAATTAACACTGCTGTGTTATGCTGAAAATTTACTTTCCGATGATGAATTTCTCGTTTTATGGGAAAACAATCAGTCAAGCAAACCAGATTTTCCTTGGGACAGTTATGGTCCGTTCGACCTCGAAAACATAGATGAAGCCGAATGCAAAGCAGAATTTCGCGTAGAGAAAAGAGATCTTCCTACACTAAGAGAAGTACTCGGGATTCCACCCGCTTTCAAATGCCCACAGAGGACTATATGCGATGGAATGGAAGGACTGTGCATGCTACTAAAACGGTTAGCTTATCCTTGTCGTTACAGCGATATGATCGCACGTTTTGGAAGACCTGTTCCTGAACTGTGCATGATCACGAACCGAGTCATGGATTTTATCTATAATGCACATGGCCACCAAATCACTCAGTGGAATGACACTATACTGCATCCCAGATTGCTTGAACAATATGCCACTGTCATCACAGAAAAAGGAGCAGCTCTAGATAATTGTTTTGGCTTTGTTGATGGTACCGTACGACCGATCTTCAAACCAGGAGATATGCAGAGAATCGTTTACAATGGGCACAAGAGAGTACATGCTCTCAAGTTTCAGTCGGTTGCCATACCTAATGGCTCATTGCCAATATGTTTGGCCCTGTGTGTAAGTGCCATTGAACAATATTACTTAAATACTGTTTGCAAAAATAGGGGTAGCATTGATTTGAATAACCTGATGCAGTTTTTTTTAAAGGAAATGGCTAAAATTTAATGAAAAGTCATTTGCCTATATATGGCAATATATAAAAAGTACTGCTTGATCTTAGAAGTTTGGAGCAAATGTAAGAACAAAAGATCACTACCATCACTTCTGTTGCTGTATATTAAAATTAGGAAACTATAGGTTGATCAATACAGTAAGTACCTTAAGTTTATTACTTTGTTTTTCTTCTTTACTTTAGAGGGTAGGAGGCATGATGCAGGGATGTTGCATGATTCTGGGCTACTTCACAACCTGGAAGCCTATGCCTACTCAGCAACAGGGCTACTGATGTGTTTGTATGGCGACCCTGCTTACCCCCTAATAGTGCTTCTTCAGGAGCCATTCCGGAACCCCCACCTTACTCCCGTGATGGAAGCATACAACAGTTCAATGAGTTCAGTAAGGGTGTCTGTAGATTGGTTATTTGGAGATATCATAGAATATTTCAAGTTCATGGATTTTAAAAAGAATCTCAAGATAGGAATGAGCAGCATTGGAAAGATGTACATTGTTTGTGCACTTCTGCAAAATGCTTTGAGTTGCTTGTATGGCAACAATACTGCAACATTTTTCGACCTTGAGCCTCCCACCCTGCAAGACTATTTTGCATGGCTGATGTGTTGAAGAAAAGAGAACTTTATCTTCTTATGAAATTTTATAATTTGAAACAGTTATGATATGCAATAACTTGGACATTACTTTTTGAAATTTGGGGAGCAGCCCCTCCCAATCAGCTGATTAAAAAACAAATGCATATAAACCTATCATGGTCAAGGGTTGTTGGGTGTAGCAGAGTTTGTGAGACACAAATTTCAGACACTTGTTATAAACATATATTCAACATGTACAGTCCAACAATTTTAACCAATAAATTAACAAAAAATGTTTAAGCCTTATTTGCCTTTTTTCATACCAGCTTCTGCATGACTGAGAAGCCACCAAAGTGAAAACGTGAGTGTTAGTTTTCTGTTTTGGTCATTTTTGTGACCTCTAGCAAATGCTACTTTTCGAAATCTTACTTTTGATTTCATTGTTAATATACAGGTGACTTTTAAGCTCGATTTACCTGTTCTTTTTTGCCTTAAATTCGTCCTAACTTGTGAGTTACTCTTCTTACTAGCTAAACGCAGATAATGGCCAACTCAAGCACAAAATCGTGAGTGAGAATAACAATTGAATCTGTCTGTAGATTTGTACGAAAATATTCAGCCATGGTGTACTTTGAACTCATTTCTTTGACCATTTCTTTTTATTTTCAGCGGGAAAACGGACATGTATGATTTGAGGAAGCCATCAGCGTACGAGGCGGGGGGCTGGAGGGGCTGCAGCCCCCCCTTTCGGAAAAAAATTAGTAGTATTCGGGCAAAACTGATGTACCGTTCGGGCAAAGACATAGTAAAAAATATTTTATTACTTAATATCTTGATTTATTTGTTTTCGTCCCGCAACTCGCCTAATCTTCTAACTGATCTCTGTACTACTTCACGGGATGGCTGTTATTACTCGGAGTTAGAACAATGAGTTCTGCCGAGGGACTGGGAGTGATAATCAAGACCGCGCTGGGACTGGAACTGCGTATGAGTTGACGGCCATGTTGATTTATGTCAGTTCTCGAGTGTATGTGCGTGTAATCTGGTGGATTGAAGTATATCTTTGTTGAAGTCTCGTAAAAGATCACATCGATACCGTGTGAAATGGAAAGAATGCGAGAAAGAATTCGACCCCGACTATGTAGAAGCTCATTCCCGAATTGTTCACAGCGACCGAAAAGTGAAATGTCTGCCAGTGGTAGAATCGTCACAGCTGAAATTAAGTGGTTTCTTCTCTAAAAGTAGTGCAGCAGTCGAATCTCCAGGTCAGACACAGAAGGCACCGCTTGTTGGATGTAGTCCAGAGAGTGAATAACGTACTATTTCATCAACATTCGAATCTGTTGCAAATATCCAGCCAGATCGTGAATCAATCGACCAAGATTCACTTAGGCCTGATGCGTCAATGAGAGACGTCCAGGAACCTCGCGAGCCCAGTACCCCGATAGATAAAGGCATTCAATCAGATCTCGGAGGGATTGTCGAACTAGAGCCAGAGTCCTCCACATCACCTACGTTGACGACAATGGTACCGAAACAACCTGTTTTACCCAAATATCCGGGCACCAAGTTCAGCAGTGAGTCTTTCACTAGACGATTCTAGCCTGACTGGTGTAAAAAGAATCCGTGGCTTAGTCACGATGTCGAAAAAGACGTGTGTGTATGTTTAGCCTGCATAGAGTTTGGAAAGGATGCATCTTTTGTTTTCAAGAATTGGAAGAAGCCATTAAAGTTAACAAAACACAGCCAAAGTGAGAATCATGTAAGTTGCATGACTAGGTGGCTGCAGTTCAAAGCAATAGAAACAAAGAATAGCAGTGTTCTGCAGCAACTAAGCAATGCACATAAAGAGCAGGTCAAATTTAACAGGAAATATTTACAAGTGATAATCGAGTGCTTGATTTTCACTACTATGCAAAATATTGCTGTTAGAGGCCATGAAGAAAGTCGAAACGATATCTGGGAAGTTTCAGATATAAACAGAGGAAACTTTCTCGAATTACTTCATTTACGATGCAAAGACTTACATGGCTGCAGTCAAAACTCCAGGCGCAGCTCCAGTTGCATGCTCAGTGGACATCACTCACCATCCAAAATGAGCTACTTGCAATAGTGTCAGACCTTGTGCTTGAGAGAATCACGACAAAAGTAAGGAAGAGTGGCTACTTTGGGATCATCATGGATGAAACTTCAGACGTCAGTAGAACCGAAGAGGTATCCTAGTGCCTCAGGTACGTTATCAATGGTGAGACAAAAGAAATTTCGTTGGTTTCTTTGCCACTGCTTCTACCGAGGGAGGAGTTCTGTACAAACTCGCAAAAATAGCCATAAATAGGCTGGATTTAAGGTTGGAAAACAGTATTGCCGAATGCTTTGATGGCGCTGCGAACATGAGTGGGATTTGCAAGGGCCTTGCTACGCGTATGAAGGAATGTTCACCTCTCGGAATATGTGTACATTGTTATGGTCATCTTTTAAATTTGGCTCTTAAGGACACCATGACTGAAATTGAAACTCTCCGTAATGCCCTCGGTACTGTCCAGAGTCTTTACAATTTCTTACACGGGAGTACCAAGTGCCATGCGTTATTCAAGGACATTGAAGTTCATGAAGAGGATGTTGCGCTTACATTAAAATCTTTAAGTACCACTAGATGGTCCTGTCGCTGGGCAGCGGTCACTTTATCAAAGGATCGCGATCCCAAGACCCACAATGAAAGTAATTCGCTTCTCCACTCATTTTGTGACTTTGAGTTTGTTTATGGCTTAATGTTTTTGAAGCTCATCTTATCAAACACTGATAATTTGTGTAGATATCTACAGGGAAAACAGATGGATGTCATCACTGCCAAGAAGACTGCTGATGCTGTCGTTAAGACACTGAGCAATTGTCGCAATGAAGAGAGCTTCACTCAGATGTGGTCACATGCTGATGTTATAGCGCAAAAAATCAGAATAGGAATCGAGGGTACAAAATTTACCTTCAGAGATGCCAAGGTGCCTCAAACCAGACCATCACGCCGACGTCAGGGCCTTACTGACGAGACACCTGCTGCAGCGAATGACAGCTCACAACAGACGGCAAAAGACCACTTTCGTATCACAGTTTATTACACAAGTATTGACAAAGTCGTCAGTGAACTTTAATCAAGGTTTGAGGGCAATGACCAGGAGGTTTTGTGCGCATCGGGCGAAATCCCTTGAAGCCATTCTCCAAGTATCAACAACATCCAAACTGTATCAAATTTCTATGGCGTGGATAGTGAAATGTTATCAAGTGAGAAGTCAATCTTTGAAAACTACGACTGCGTGGACCCATGCCAGAGAAAAAACGCAGCCGTGATGGTAAAGACCATGCATCAAAATGGTCTCCATGACATCTTACCCGTTCTATATAAAGTTGCCTCCATCCTGGCCACAATTCCTGCAACCTTGTGCTCTGCTGAAAGGTCTTTCAGCGCCCTTCGCCGCATCAAGACATTTTTAAGATTTACCTCCCCCCAACAAAATTTTTCCCGTACGCCGATTGAGGAAGCTTTCCAAAGTACACAGCTGGATATTGAATTGTCTTTTTATGACAAATATTTTTTTTACAGTCGAACCAGGCCAAGACTCCATGAGTGGATCGATTATTTATATTGAACTTTCTAGCTTTCGTTAGTCAGATTTTCGAAATTCAGTATTTATGCATGCGTAATAAATAGTGAATTTATGTGTCAAATTAAGAATTAACAATTCGATATTACTGCATCTGTTGGAACTTTCTCCATTCAAAAGTTTGAAAGATTTTTCGATCTAACGAAATTCTGAGATTCTGTAGTTTCTAAAATTAGTTGCTAATTACGCATGCAGGAATGCTGAATTTTAATTCTTACAACACAAAAATATGCAAATGATCTAGCCATAAAGGTTGCTATGGGTTTATTCTTGTCCTGGTTCAACTGAAAAATAGCTTTTCATGTCTGGTGTTGGAACTTTTACAATAATTGTTGTAAAGTAAAATTTGTATGTTTCATGGACAACCAAACAATCACACCGGAATTTCAAATTAGCCTGTTTCTGTTCTCTGTTGCATGTGCAGCTATCAATCATAAATAAACAAAACAGACAATCTTTTTTTTGTCTAAATGTTACCTAGAACAGTGATGGAATAGACGAAGCAGCATGACAAGGCTCTTCTGGATGAAATGACAATCAGCGATCTTTTTCAGTACAAGATGGGCACTCCAGAAAGGGGTCAATTATGGGATTCTATATCTGGTAATTTAAATGCAATGGATTACCCAAAGTTTAAAGATGCAAAACGGTCATGTCGCGATCGTTGGACACTGTTATGCACAAAGTATAAAAGAAGGATGTCAGAAGAAATCCAAGCAACTGGAATAGATGCTGAGGTTGGCTACTTGATGAGATCATTGAATATCTTATTGGAAAAGAAGATCATGCTATTGACAGTGATAAAGAAGGAAAGAAGAAAGCTGAAGCTGATAAAAAGGCAGCAGAAGGAACACGGATTAAGGCTATGGAACGGTTTGGAAACACCAGAAAAAGAGGTGGAGAGGATGGAGAGGAAGGAGCCAAAAAGAAAAAAAGGAGAATTGACAGTGATGCAGTAGAATTTCTCAGAGAAAAAGCAAAGTTAGAACATTCTCTGAGAGAGGAAGAGCTACAGTTAAGGAAAGATCAACAAAGCCAAACACTGTTGATATTACAGCAACAACAGCAGATGAATCAAGCATTGCTCACCCTCGTGGGAAAAATGTTGCCTAAAGAGAGGAATTAACTGTTAATTACTGTAACTCAATTTGTTGTTGTCAGCCAATGGTGTCTTTTTGAATGGCACTTTGCAGAGAGAGATTTAATTTATGTTCATTAACTTTCATAGGAAAATGGCATTTATGAAAGAAATGTTTGAATTTTCATGTTATAATCATTTAAATTCACTTATTATGATGAATGCGTATTGGAAACTTTGGTGGCTTCTCAGTCATGCAGAACTTACTTACTACCCATCATGCCTGTGTAGCACATAGGGCAGCAACGAAATCCTTCCAACCCTGTCTATCTTTAGCCAGTTTTTCAATGGTGCTCCAGCTGTAATTGAGCCCCCTTGGTCTCTTCTCTACTGTCCTGTGCCAAGTTGTTTTCGGGCGCCCTCTGCTTCGTTTGCCTTCAGGTGTCCAGTGCATTGCAATTCTGGCTATGTTGTTACTGGCCTTCCGCATCCACATGACTGATCCACCTCCATCTTCTCCTGTTGACAAGTGTACGAATACCCTCCTGCTTAGTTTGCCTCAGTAGCTGGTCGTTTGATATTTTCAGAGGCCAGAAGATTCTCATAATCTTCTTGAGGCTAGCTGTGTGGAAGGATGCTAGTTTTGAGAGGTTCTTTTCTGTCATTCACCAGCATTCCGAGCCGTAAAGGAGAGTTGACAATACGCAGCTCTGATAGATTCTAAGCTTCGTCTTTGTGCTGTAACTTGCTGACCTCCACACTGATCTTAAGCTCATAAAGGCATTTCTTGCTTCGTTCAGTCTGCTTTGTATATCTACACTAGTACCCCCATCTTGGCAAAGCACACTTCCGAGGTATGTGAACTTGTTGGTGTATGGAATGTCCTGTCCTCTTACCCTGATCTTTGTTGGGGAAGAGACATTAACACACATGGCCTCCGTCTTCTTCAAGCTCATTCTCAAGCCGACCTGGTTGCTGAACATGCTGAGCCGGTCTGTCTTTTCCTGAATGTGCTGTCGTGTGTGGGACAATAGGGATAAATCATCTGCGAAGTCGAGGTCTTCGAGTATAGTAAAAGGGGTCCATCTTATGCCTCTTCGCTGATCTTCCATTTTTCGACAAAGGACCCAGTCGATAGCAATATTGAATAGCATGGACGACATGACACATCCCTGCCGTACACCGGTTTTAACTTCAAAATTTTGATCTCCCTGACCGATGCAACATGTGAAATTTGAATCGAAGCATTTGATGATATTAATAATGCGTTGTGGAATGCCATATGCTCTCAGAATCTGCCAAAGACTGGGACTGTTGCCTTGTCGTAGCTGAGTGACTTGTGCGTCCCAGCGACTCCGAGAGCTATGCCGACGGGGGCGTTTACACCCCTGGTAGGGCCTCCCAAGCCGGAAAGGTTAAGGAGCAGGGTCCAGACTAAAGACAGTCCCACGGCCCTCCAGGCGTAGGGGTTAGGCTTAAGGCTAACAACCTTATCCTGTAAAAAGAATTTGTTATGGAAACAGCAGCAAAGACAACCAATATCCTGTACGCAGACCTTCCAAGGTCTTTGAAACGTAGTCATGCAGAAGCTGGTACGAAAAAAAGACAAATTAGGCTTAAACATTTTTTCGTTAGTTTATCGGTCAAAATTTTTCGACTGTACATGTTGAATATATGTTTATAACAAGTGTCTGAAATTTGTGCCTGATAAACTCTGCTAAACCCAACAACCCTTGACCATGATAGGTTTATATGCATTTTTTTTAATCAGCTGATTGGGAGAGGCTGCTCCTCAAATTTCTTAAGGTAACGTTTAAGTTATTGCATATCATAACTGTTTCAAATTATAAATTTTCATAAGAAGATAAAGTTCTCTTTTCTTCAACACATCAGCAAAATAGTCTTGCAGAGTGGGAGGCTCAAGGTAAAAAAATGTTGCAGTATTATTGCCATACAAGCAACTCAAAGCATATTGGAGAAGTGCACAAACAAACAATGTACATCTTTCCAATGCTGCTCATTCCTATCTTGAGATTCTTTTGAAATCCACGAACTTGAAATATTTTATGATATCTCCAAATAACCACTCTACAGACACCCTTACTGAACTCATTGAACTGTTGTATGCTTCCATCAAGGTGAGTAAGGTGGGAGTTTCGGAATGGCCCCTGAAAAAAGACTCTTAGGGGGTAAGCAGGGTCGCCCTGTTGCTAAGTAGGCATAGGCTTCCAGGTCGTTAAGTAGCCCAGAATCATGCAACATCCCTGCATCATGCCTCCTACCCTCTGACGTAAAGAAAAAAAGCAAAGTAATAAACTTAAGGTACTTACTGTATTGATCAACCTCTAGCTTCCTAGTTTTAATATGCAGCAACAGAAGTGATATTAGTGATCTTTTGGTCTTACATTTGCTCCAAACTTGTAAGATCAAGCAGTTCTTTTTATATACTGCCGTATATAGGCAAATGACTTTTCATTAAATTTCAGCCATGCCCTTTAAAAAAAACTGCATCAGGTTATTCAAATCAATGCTGCCCCTATTTTTGCAGACAGTGTTAAAGTAATATTGTTAAATGGCACTTACCCACAGGGCCAAACATATTGGCAATGAGCCCATTAGGTAGAGCAACCGACTGAAACTTGAGAGCATGTACTCTCTTGTGCCCATGGTAAACGATTCTCTGCATATCTCCTGGTTTGGAGATCGGTCGTACGGTACCATCAACAAAGCCAAAAACAGTTGTCTAGAGCTTCTCCTTTTTCTGTGATGACAGTGGCATATTGTTCAATTAATCCGGGATTCAGTATAGTGTCATTCCACTGAGTGATTCGGTGGCCATGTGCATCATAGATAAAATCCATGACTCGGTTCGTGATCATGCACAGCTCAGGAACAGGTCTTCCAAAACGTGTGATCATATCGCTGTAACGAGAAGGATAAGCTAGCCGTTTCAATAGCATGCACAGTCCTTCCATTCCATCGCATATAGTCCTCTGTGGGCATTTGAAAGCGGGTGGAATCCCGAGTACTTCTCTTAGTGTTGGAAGATCTCTCTTCTCTACGCGAAACTCTGCTTTACATTCGGCTTCATCTATGTTTTCGAGGTCGAACGGACCATAACTGTCCCAAGGAAAATCTGGTTTGCTTGACTGATTGTTACTGGGATACCTGTGGTAGCCCAGTCATAAAATGCCTTTGTTTCTTTGTCGTCTTTTTTTTTTTTTCCTCCGCCACAAAATGGAAAAATTGCGCAATAGTACTTTTATAATAATAGTGGGCCCTCAACACCATGACAACTAACTGATCCAATGAGGTGTTCACATGCTGATCACGCATGTTATCTTGATGATGATTGACGTTGTCATGCACAGACAGGGCCTGGTCACATGACAAATCACGAGATTTTGCTTAGAAAACTCTTTGGTCAGTTGTTTTGTATTTCGACGTATTTGGATTGCGATCTACTGGAGCATTATGGCGCAAACGCGCAAAATACTTACAGACGCACATACAAGTCGTATTAATCGCGGCTAATCCACACTGAAAGATGTTATTGAGCGGTAATTTTGGAACGGATTGAGTCGCGAACGCTTGAAAGCCATGAAAGCCTTGAATGCCTTGTATACTAAGTATGCCAATGTCTTAGTTGAAAAACGTTCACTTGTTGTAAAAAGCAAAATCTGAAATCTCAAACCAAACTGCATATACTCTATGCAATCTATTCCCCTTCACTACTACCGTGAGACTGAAGAACATAACTATAATGGATGCAAACTGCTTGTGAAGAAAGACGACATGTTGGATTCACTTGATGGCAAGAACGTAGCTACGATAACAGTACGAATGGTATTAATTTCACGATCAGAAAAGTGAATCTTATGTTTGTTTTCATTGTAGTTGTACGGATATTCTTTTTTAATAAATACGTGATCCAAAACCCTGTGTTTTTTTGTGTATAATGTTATTATGTTAAATATTGTTTACGCAATTGTCTTGTCACAGGCAGCCCAAGCTCACGTCTCGAGAAAAAGCCAACGATTAATTCATGAACGCGTCACGCGTTGTGTGACTCGGTGTTAAGTTACGAGAGGAACTACACGTTATAAGGAATAGTATAGGGAACGAAGTATGGTCGATTTACAACGACATATTTCGAAATATGAACATTTTTCTCGTAAAATCAATAAAACTTACTCATACCCTGTGTATCCGTCGTATTTTCTGGCGATTTCTGCCGTTTTAAGCTTGCTTTACCATCACTGTTATTCACGTCATCTACTTTTATTACGTTGGTAAAATCTGTACAGACATCACACCAACCAACTCGCGCGCAAAGTAAGAAGACTATATTGAAGGCTTGAAATAATATTGCGATCGATTTTCATCAAGAAATGGGCCAGGAATATTCCACAATAGTGCAAATAATCGTGAAGGCGGATCGCAGAAAAGCGATTGCATGACGCTCGGTAAGCTGTAAGATGACATGTTATTATATACCAGACGTAAAAACTCTTCAGATTCTTAGTCTGCATTTTGTACCCACTCTGCAGTCTGCAGTCTATATTTTGTATCTGGTCTGCAGTCTGCTGTCTGCATTTTGTAGTAACAGGTAACCGTGGTACCAATATAGTTTATTTTTGGTTACATTTATTCGCAAAACACACATTATCTACCACAAAATACCTGTGAGTGAGGTAATTCGACATTTTCGTTCTTTCCCAAATTAATATTCTTCTCTCCTAGACATCAATCACAATGTTTCAAGTAATCCACCCACCCTACAAAAAAGTAACTCTTGCATGCATTGCATGCCTATGTTTTGAAATAGGTGTATGACCTTGGCCAGACTTGAGCGGACTATTTCAGTATACTAGTCCGACACCCATAGTATCACTACACTTGATTCCAAGGATCCAGTACCATCCAGGTTTCCCAGTTACCCTGCTCACAGGGTCTAGTTTTCCCATACAACGAGAAATTCATCGTCGGAAAGTAAATTTTCAGCATAACACAGCAGTGTTAATTCTCTCGTTCCTTTAAAAGAAGTAATTTTTTCCTTTGAATTTGGCGGGAGGCGACGGCTACATCGGTCCCAGCTTCCCTCTGCCACTCCAGTCGCCGTCGCCCCGAAAACTTCCATTGCTTAAGTTCCCTAGTCACAGCCGTCTAATTGCACGATCACAGCTCGGACGCTTCTCGCAAAATGTGATGACTACCAATTTCAGAGATTAATTCTTCAGTTTCCAGTATAAGGAAAAAATATCGTATCGCAAGCATTTTCATCATAACGCCTCGAGATGTTGAGCGAAGAGAGAGTGCTCCATGTTTTGTGAGACAAACCATTTCCTGAAGTTCGAACGAATCGAGTAGAAAGCTTGAAAAGTACGACAACCAAACAATTAAATTCACTCATCCCGCTGTAGCACCAACTTCATTTAACCCGTGAATTTGTTTGCACAACACATTTGCGGTCCGTAATTTGATTCTCAGATGTTTGACGGGTTCTCACATGACAATATCGTCGAAATCAAATTACCGCGTCTGACATAATGTAAACTTGAACATCGCTGACTCAATCTCATTATATTTCAATTTTGGGAAAGATAAGGGTAAAACAACACATCATCGGCAAAGCGCGAATTTTTTTTAGAGTAAATCTTGTGATAATTAACTAAAGAGAAAAAAAGTAGAAACTTGCGCTCGCCGTTCACCATCATTCGAAAACTTTCTAGGCAAAAAAAAATACGTAAGATAACTTCTTTTCCCATAGCACCACGACTGATGAAACTTTCAAACGAAAAAAAAAGAAATGACTTGAAGAATACGAGCGATGAACCGGCGTGAGGCTTTTTAGGCGATGAATGCCAGAGTCAATGTTTAACCGAAACGTGATCAGTGGAATTAAAAACTAAAGCTAGTATCAAACGACGATTGATAAAAAAAAGTTTGATTTTTTTCTGAGTCTTAGCGTAAGAGAAAACCCAGATAGGACACGACTTACCTTCTCTTCTTTCGCGGATCCTTTGTAGTTCGCTTCTCTTTGTTGATGACCTCTTTTCAGTTGTTTTCAGAAGCGACTTTGTATTTCCTTCTCGCGTTGCTCTTTGCTAGATACCTGCCTTTTACTTATGCCCTTTATTGTTCTCTTTCGCGCTCTTCTCGCCGTATTCTGCCTATTTTGGCGTCCTTTCCAACTTTCTTGCGCGATTTTCTGTATTCGCTTTACGCCGTTGACTCGTTGCTTTCTTTGGTCGCTCTGTCTCTTTATATCCAGCCTATTTTCACTCAAAACTCTCTCTCCACGAACTTGAATTATAACAGTTTCCTGCGGTTGACAAAGTTTAAACTCTGCCGCTATTGTTGCCTTACGAGTTGTTTAGAAATTGCAAGGTACTGAGAATTACTGTTCAACTACATCCTGACCAGTTTGATTTCCCGCTCAAAAACACGGGTAGCAAATTATTTGCTCACGCTGCTTCACATCTACAAGCCCACGTGAAGCCCTCGTGCAATGCCTAACCGTGTGTCCGCAGTACGTTACAGCAGCTCGACGCCCGAGTATGCGCACTTTATCGTCATCTGACGGTGTCTGCAGACGCATACTAATGTCCAAGTTACACTCGCAATCGCGCCTGCGCATTAGCTTCTCCCTTACCCTTCCATTATGTAATGGCTAAGATAGTGCCCGTGGTACAGTTGGCTGCGCATGCTAAAAGTAACACCTTGTACGGTCGGTCGTACGGTCGTACAGTCGTACAACCAAATTTTTTCGGCTTGATGGGTTACTACTTTTTCGTATAATTACGGGGCTACGCTGCGCGTGCTTCGCGCGCTACGAGCTCCCCTATAAGTTGTCAACTGCCTAAACAATATTGCATTGTTACCTTGGGAGATTTTAATGCTCATTGCGACTCTACAAATCTATCAGGGAATGGCGATGCAGGTAAAAAATTATTTAGTTTCTTAGAAAAAAACAGCTTGGTACAGCTGACCATTCTGTTATGTTCGTAAATAAGAATATCGTCACTTAACAAAGTTGATCTTACAAAAGGCAGGTGTGGAATTTTACCAATGTCAACTCTACAAATATGGATGGAGAACTATCTGAATTAGACTGGATCTCTTTTTATGAAAATACTAGAAAAATAGAGGAGACATATTCATGGTGGTATTTTTGTTTGATTATTGAGAGGGTCATTCCACTGAAAACAGTAAAAATACTTGCTAGGGATAAACCATTGAACTCATTTATCAATAAGTCTTTTTCACTTGGTCAGTACCCTAGTGAGTGTAAGATTGCAAATATTATTCCTATATTTAAAAGTGATAACCGTCAATTCAAAACGAGTCACCGTCCTGTTTCTCTTGTGGCAAGTTTATCTAAAATCTGTGAAAAAGTTTTTTTCTTTCACTTATACAATTTTTTGTTGGGGATTTTTTTTTAAAATAAACTCCAGTCTGGTTTCAGGCCTGGTGACTCAGCATTTATAACCAGCTGATTTTCTTTGAACACAAGATCTATGAAGCCCACTAGAATGGTAGAGAGCCCCGTGTTGTTTTCCTAGATTTAAGCCGACATTTGATAAGGTGTGGAACGCTGGTTTGTTGCATTAATTAGAAGCTCTGGGAAGGCAACTACCCTTACATTGATGGTTTGAAGTTATTTGCTTAACTCAAAGCTGAAGGGCAATCCTCTGATTGACAGTGAATTCTAGAGTCCCCTTAGGGATCCTTGTTAGGACAGCTTCTATTTCTTATTTACATCAATGATATTGCTGATGATATCACCTCTCTTCCTTTGATTTATGCTGATGATGTAACACTGTTTTAAATTGTGGACCAGCCAGACATATAAGCTGGTCGCCTCAATTCTGATTTAAGTAGGATATCAAAGTGGGCTTACAAATGGTTCGTAAATATGAATTCTGTTGAATCTTGTAATGTTGTATTTTCTCTAAAGCGTAATAAACAAGATCACTCCCCTCTATTTCTTGACCTAAAGGTTGTTGAAGACATGAATCTCAAACTCACTTACGCTTAACTTCGCAGAGTAGCATCGAGATAGTCTATCGTTATAGGATCTATACAGATATTGGATATATACAGATAGACACAACTGGTTAAATTGCCAAAA